CTTTTAAAATAAATTTAAGAGGGTAATATGTAAAAATCATTTTCCTTTAAATATTAACCATCATAAATCTTAACGTTCAAAGACAATTTCATTAAGTGCAATATGTAAGGAAAGATCAATTTATAGGTGTATGTAAATTTTTGTTTGAACAAAGGCGAGTGGCTACTACTATTACTTTTTATATTTAAGGGGGTGGGCCGGGGCTGGGGCCGGGGGAAGGGAACTGGGTGTTGAACTTCATTCCTCTCGGTGGTGTTCCCACTTTAAAGGCAGAATAGAATTTCTCTACTTTAACTTGAAACCCTGCCTTACTGCAGCTAATTTATAATAATTTTAGAGCAATTCTCAATATCATACCAGATCTTCTCATCAAAGATAACAACAATGATGGTGTGTGCTGGGCAACAGAATACTTCTGGCTACTTTCTAGCTCTGTTAATAACACCATTGCTTCTGATAAATGGTGAAATGACTTCTGATTATCCATCAAGTGTGGAGGCTCCAATTTTTTGGATTAACAACAACTCAGACCCTAAATGGGACTCAGAAGAGTTGACTCTGCAACCTATCTTCGTCAATGAGCCCTTCGTTTGTGGCTTCCACTGCAAAGTTGAAGAAAACAACACCTGCCTCTTTGCTATCTCCATCTTCATTTCTAATGGCTCATATCCATATAATCCAATTTCAAGAATGATATGGTCCGCTAATCGAAACAATCCGGTTGGACGTGGGGCGAAATTGCAACTTTCCCAACAAGGGGATCTAGCACTGCGAGATGTTGATAGCACTTTGGTTTGGTCTCCTAAAACAGCTGGTATGTCTGTTTTGGAATTGATGTTAAATAATTCTGGTAACCTTATGCTGTTTGATAGAAATAAGGAGATGGTTTGGCAGTCTTTTGATCATCCGACTGACTCTTTGGTGCCAAGACAGAGGCTAGTTTCTGGGCAAAAATTGGTGGCAAATATGTCAGTCACAAATTGGAGTGAGGGTTTATATTCATTTTCAATTGATGATAATGGTTCTTTTGTTGCTTATATGGAATCAGATGCCACCCTGCTTTATTACCAATCCCCTGGTTCAAATTTAAGAAGCGCAACGGGCCAGTTTTATGCTGAATATCACTCTTGTCGTTTTGGTACTTTGAGCTTGCCGGAAGTTAGAATTGGGTCTTCATCTTTTAGTTTTATACAATTAGACCATGATGGGCACTTGAGCAAGTTCTGGGGGACAGAAACAGGTTGGGAGAAAGCCTATGATTTGTTTAAGAAGAGACTTGATTCATGTAGTTACCCATTGGTGTGCGGAGAATATGGAATCTGTTCACCGGAAGGATCCTGCAGCTGCCCAGAAGCAGATCAAAACAGAGGTACATATACGTATTTCAGGCAGATAAATTCTTCACAGCACAATTTTGCGTGTTCTCCATATAATCCAATATCTTGTAAGTCTCCTAACCAGAGTCTTCTTGAAGTCAAGGACGTTGATTTTGCTCTTCCTGATTTTGGGCGAGGTAATTATCACAAAGCAGACATAGAGAGCTGCAAGCAAGGCTGTTTAAAGAACTGTTCTTGCAAGTATGCTCTTTTTATACATGAACATGATAGTAATTTCTCATCACCTGGCCTGTGCTTTCCTAGATCTCAAGCTTTGTCGTTCAAGAAAGTGGATGCATCTTCCAATCAATCTCTATTTTTAAAGGTGCAGAATTCTTCAGCTCCACAGATTCCTCCACCGCCAGTTTCACCTAAAAAAGGGGGAAGACAGAATATGGGAGTTATAATTGGATCCACTGTTGGAGCCTTTTTTATTGTGCTTCTTGTTATTTGCTTTCTCTCTTTCCTAGAAAGTAAAAAGGATGCAAAGGATGTTGAGGAGGATTATCTGGGCCACATATCAGGAGCACCCTCAAGATTCTCTTATGAAGAATTAAAGGTTGCGACTGACAACTTTAGCAACAAGCTTGGCGAGGGAGGATTTGGTTGTGTTTTTCAAGGAACATTACCTGGTGGTGCTCAAATTGCAGTGAAATGCCTTGATGGTTTTGGTCCTGTAAGGAAGTCATTTATAGCTGAGGTTGAGACCATAGGAAGCACTCACCATTTCAATTTGGTACGACTAGTTGGGTTTTGTGCTGAGAAATCCCGTATGCTTTTGGTTTATGAGTACATGTGTAACGGGTCATTGGATCAATGGATTTTCTACAGAGACAAAGCACTTGTTCTTGGTTGGCAATGTAGAAGGAAGATCATTCTAGACATAGCCAAGGGACTAGCATATCTCCACGAAGGATGCAGGCAGAAAATAATTCACTTGGATATCAAACCCCAAAACATCCTCTTGGATGAAAATTTCAATGCCAAGGTTTCTGATTTTGGGTTGTCTAAGCTAATGGGGAGAGAGCAAAGCCAAATTGTGACAACAATAAGGGGTACACCGGGTTATATGGCCCCAGAATGGTTGAACTCAATAATCACAGAAAAAGTAGATATATACAGCTTTGGCATTGTGGTTCTGGAAATTTTATGTGGCAGAAAAAATGTTGATCGATCCCTGCCAGAAGAGGATACCCATTTGATAAGTCTTTTTAAGAGAAAGGTTGAGGATGGTCAACTTCTGGATCTAGTGGATAAGTGCAACGAGGAGATGCAATCAAATGCAGCAGAGGTTGTGGAGATGATGAAAGTTGCGGCATGGTGTTTGCAAGGTGAATATGCTAGCAGGCCTTCCATGTCCATCGTGGTGAAGTTCTTAGAGGGCAAAATGGATGATGAAAATGAATATGATTTCTCAAAGCCACCAGCACCGGCTGAGGTGGAAACTCTCGGATACCAAACTGATACAGCTGCAGTGATTCCATCTGTTTTATCTGGTCCAAGGTGATGATATGGGAGAGAGGACATAGAGATGTACTACAACGGTAATACTTCATTTCTTCTTATGATTGCACTTCCTTTATCTTACGATTTTGCTTCTGTTTCTAGTCATTATATCTTTCCATTTTTCTTCTGGTGCACTTCTCTGTTTGCTTTTGAATTCATTGATTGGTTTCTTATATCTAACTGTCCAATCAGCTTACCTTCTTTTCTCTACAGAGTTTCTTACAATGACCCAATGAATTACTTTTAACTTGAAATTTGTCTTTAACTTGAATTGCTTTAAAGCTATCATTCTCACCACACTCTTGACTTCATATCTTTCTGCCAATTGCTTCAGGTAATTGAGTAAGACATTGACCGACCGCCCGCCCGCCCCCAATTAGCAGGTCCTGGTGCGGAGGGTGACTCTGAAAAGCTAGATCCTCTCCTTGGGTCTTTTTTATTTTTATTTTATTTTTATTTTTTTTTCTTTTGGGTCCATTGCAATCCATTGCAAATTTGTCATTTTACTTTAGCGGAGATTAGTTAAAGTATTTTACATTTTAATTTATGTAACTTTAATATTTTAATTTTAAGTAAACAATCTCAACTCCTATTAGATCTTTTTAATTTTATTTAGATGATTTTAACACTTATATAAAACTTTTATTAAAATAGTTTTTACGAACAGATTAAAAAAGCTTTTAGATAACCTTTATGACAAAAAATTAAAAAAGACAAAGAATGGAGCCCACTCCCATCCAACTATTTTAGTTGTGTAATTTAGAGTACCCTAAATTGTACAATAGTTTTATAAAAAAAAATAAAATTAAAACACAGATAGTTTATTTCAATTTTCACTCCTAGGGTTTTTTTTTTCTCAAAAAAGGACCTGGGCTTAGATGTAACAGTATCGGGCTTGTTTCCCACACATAACAATACGAAGGATTTCAGTTGGGCTGCAAACGGTCCAGTTTCAGACTTTCTGCGATTTAGAGGATGGGCTTTTGGGCCCGAGCATGAATTTCGACTCTAGTTTCGTTTCCTAAATTACAGACGTAGCCAGTTTTAATGCACAAATCTTTCCCCGCCACCTCCGTAGACCAACGGCAACAGGACTCATATTTTAGCCCATACATATTCCAGAAAATTGTTCTTTTTAATTTGAAGGCGGTGGGTGCGGAAGAACTAGCTGGGAACATGCTGATGTTGATGAGAGTTTGAATCCTTATTCCCTTTTTCATCTCTTTCTTCAACCAATTGACATGTTCAATAA